ATATGATTCTTACCAAACATTAACAAAATTATTTTACGTGTGTATTAACTTTTTCGTAATGTAAATACTTAAATAGTGAATCCCATAAGTTTAGATAGAGTTTGACAAATCTCACGAAATATTAAGAATCAAAATGATAATTATAAAAAATCTAAACCACGTTGAGAAACGAATATATCAAATTACGGATATATAAGCATGACTACGAAATAGTAATACACTAAAAATCACTCAAATAACACAAAAGTATGGATTAATATATCTTAACAAAACAAAAACTATGGAATGATATAAAACTATGGACTATTTTAGACCATTTCCACTAATATATAATTCATAAATCTATGGCTTCAAATCCTAAATAAAGTCAAATTACAAACGTAAATTCGTGAATTTTACAAAGTCCTTAAGCTAGAGTTCCAGATCTTTTGAACACTTTCCTTCTACTTTGTCCACTTCCATCGACATGTCAGCTATGTCCCTTTGATTTTGGAGTAGTCACATACTGTCGCAGGGATGGTTGTGATTTTACCGACGGACCGACAATCTTTGGCATGGGAGGAAGATGACTATCATTTTGGTTCATTTGATATGGAGCTCTAGCCACAACTTTGAAACCAAAACATACTTAAATTTGTAAACTATATAGGTCTAGTAGTATAAGAAATCAAGATAATTTTCACGTCGAATTTTCATGTCGAGATTTTTATGATTCTGAGTGTCCTTCGAATCAACTACATCCACAGGATTCGCTTATTTCGCTACTTCCATTATCTCCTTTGCTTTGTATTTAGAAAACTCATTGTAAAATATAACTTTTCCGCCTAAGAATAAGGTCAGTTGAGAATTTTTCCGGCTCCGGTTCACTGAAACCAAATAAAACCACTGGTACATTGCTTAAATTTCACACACGTTTCATGTGGATATCAGTTGGATTTTCATAGGTAGATCAAGTGGATCCAAACCAAAATTCACAAATGCATATATGTCGGAAAACCCCAACGATCATAACATTCTCAAGTCGAGAAGAGTTCTAATCGAACTGAGGACTGTGCCCACTTGTAGATCTCTTGACCACACAAAACTTTAACAAAGTTCACAACAAACGGACCAAGCTTGCAATGAGCAGACCAAGCAACCCATTTCTCACTTTGATACCATCATCTTGCATAATCCCGAAAACATCAAAGTACTCAACAAATCACCCGATACATGACGAAATAATAGTGATTACTCAAGGCACAAAGTACAATACATAAACCATATCAACTGGAAAACTTAAGTTGAATATTATACCCAATGGCAGGCAATTCAAATAATCTACCAATATTTGAACTAAAAATTATAAAATAACATCAACTTAAGTTATTTCCACATTATCAAGAGAGTGCAGGCTGGGATAATTTGAAACTACCAAAATGTTAATTAGAAAAAGTGAAACTACGAAAAGGTCCAATTACAACAGAGCATTTGCACACAAAAATCACAAGCCTATTTACTCGCGAGCCTCATTCCAAATTTTAATCTCCAATATTGTTGCCTGGCTCATTGCTGCAACCTATAGAGAAAGAACAATCAGCCAAGATCAATAAAAAATCCTCGGAAACCTCATATCACAACAAAAACAAAAGCAAGAAACAAAATTTAGATATGATTAAGCAAAACCCGGAACAAAAAAACAAAAACTAGTAGAAAGAAATCAGAAATTCAGATTTAAAAAAACAAAAGAGTTTTGATTTGGGAAATACCATGTATTTCCGGAAAATTTTGTATCTTCATCTATGATACCTAGCAAGGCATCAATCTGTGTAACACTCAAATAAATATAACCATAAGACAAACCAAAACACATTAGAAAAAAAAAACAATACTGGTAAACAAAAAATTAGTATCACACATAATAATTATAAACTCACCGGAAAAAAGTAAAATAGTATCTCATATATTTAGGTACTCAAAGTCAAAGACAATAAAACAACAAAGTATTATAATTGAATAGATAAAAAATACGAACAACATAATAAAAAAATAATCAAGGTGAAAACCATATATAATAAGTACTTACTTTATATCAATGAATATAAGATCTAAAAAAAAAAAACCAAATCATAATAATTAGCAACCAACTATAAACATGCAAAAAAATACATAAGAAATATAGAACACCAACGAACAACTATAATGTAAAATTAATACCAGAATAAAGATTGATAAACATGCAAACAAATTATATACGAACTCGAAGAACGAAATCAACAAACAAAGCAAACGCGATTTGTTCTTAAAAAAACAAAACAAACGTGATTGATCACCTAAATGATGACGATAAAAACTGCTAAAAATAAACAATAAGGTTAAAAGAGCACAAACATTTAATAGAAACTAAAAACTGATAAAACCGAAAATAAAGATTTAGTATTTATATCATTAGAGAATTACTTTATAGAAAAGATCAAATTCTAGAAAAAGGTAAAATAAGCAAAAACGATAATAGTTAAGACAATAAAAAAATAAATATAGGATATTAAAAAGCAAACAATACCTCAGAGAAGAGGTTATAACCTATAAAAAGAATGAAACGATAATCATGAGTTAAAAAGTAAGGATTTTACAATATAACAAACAATATAATTGATAACAAAACACATATACATAAACAACAAATATAAGAATGAATAATACCTCGAAGAAGACATTATAACCTATAAAATAAATAGAACGATAATTATTAGAACCTTATAAAACGAATACATGACAAAACTAACACCATTCACAGACTCGCGTTCACAGACTCGCAGTATATATTCTATAAAATATGGTCGTTTGAAACAAATATAAGAACAAAGATATCTCGAAGACAACCATATAAACAACCATATAACCTATGAAAAATAGAAGACGACCATATAGGCTATAAGACACGATAAAAAGAATACCTAGGGTTTTAGAATAACCGACACAAATAAACGAACTAATAATAAACACTAAAACTTACGTACCTTGGAAGAATTGAATAGAGATTCGGCTGTAAAAAAAAAATTGACAATAAAAAACTCACAAGAAACAACAAAATTAATATAGTGTAAACAAATACAAAAAGCTAGTCGCATCTCAATCTAGGGGTTATCATCTGATTATTCTTTTGCTCTTATCAAACTCTGATTGCTGTTTCTCTATCTGGAGTGATAATACCCTTTATTTGGCAAATAAACATACTCAAATTTCTTCCTCAATGGTAATCTTAAAGTTGCATTGTTTATGTTACAAATACGAAAAATAATCTTGATGGTTGCAAGTAGCTAAAACCCAGCCATAACACCTCCAATTGCTATAATAGAAGGTCATATCTTCTTATTTCTTCTTATGATGCAAAATCACACGAACAATGTGTTGGAAAGTTGTGTATGAACTATAGACCCAAAGCAAGTAAACAAAACAATATAAACTAAACAACTTAAAGAATTAG